AAAAAAAAAAAAAAAATCCTAAGTGTTGGGTATTTTCCACACCAGGTGGCTCAGGTGTGGAGGAATTGCACTCATGAACACTTGAGTGAGCGTGAGCATTTGTGCAACATTTCCATAGAGACATTATCTCAGTGTCTTTAACATGTTGCACTCACATGTTGCCCTTTGACAAAAATAATTGTATAGAGAAGGGAAGAGGGAGGGGGATTTAGTGAGGGAAGAGCGAGGTTGTGATTTCAGAATGTATTTATTCTGCGATGACTTAAGCCCTGGGCTGCACTCCAAAAGCCTCGTGTGAATGGTTTGCTGTTCAGAGTGGCTGTTGACATTCTCGGCTGCTTTCTCGGCAGCCAGACAACATCGTCCCTTGGCTGCGGTGCCAAGGAGCTGTGCTTCCCATCATGAGAAAGATGATGCAGAGCCACCTTTCACGTGCTCTTCGGGGCGGAGCTCTCGATGGTTTTTTCCACTTACAGGAATGTGTCGGTCCAGCCCTGTGGTTGCTGACTTGGCGTTTAGGCTCTTGTCCTTCCGTAGAGAACCTTACCTTTTTTTTTTTTAGGTGTGCACCTGTCCTATACACAGGCCATGGGACCCAGTGACAGAGGACCCCACCCAGCTACGGAGGCTGCCTGGATGGGTCACAATGGATAAAGGTTCTTGCATTCACCTTTCTGGTCACTGGTTCCGACGCGATGGTGTAGATGGATGAGCTGGGAGAGGAAGGTGTCCGAGAAGGTACAGGGGGTGGGAGCCCAGCTGAAATGAGGAAGGTGTGCATGGGGCTCAACAGTGGGAAACTGATCACACTCGGGGGATCAGAGGGGAGCAAGGGGAGCCAAGCTTCTCAGTCCTGGAAGAAGAGATTACAAAAGTGGGAAGGAGGAACTCATTTACACCCTAGGCAGTCCTCTTGAGGATATTGGTGTGAACTCAGAGATTTCAATGCACAAACAGATGAATGTGGAAATAAATGTAAATGCAGGGCTGTATGGCAGGATGTATTCCCAAGGCCTGTCCCCTGAGACAAGCTAGCAGCAAGGACACCCCAGTAGCCCTGAGAATACTCAGAATCTAAAGTTTTGGCTCCTAAATACCAAAATGATTATATAGAGAAGGGAAGAGGGAGGGGGTTTTCTAAGTGGAGCTAGGACTTCTTAGAGGAATGGCTGGCCCCATAATCTGAGTAGACAAAGGACTAAATGAATGTGGGAAAATCTTCAGCAAGGTCATGCCCAAATAATTACGGGACATTTCAAAAGGACTCAGAAACTGACTTGCAGGAGTTCCTATTAGAAGAATCAGAAATATAATTTGAGCATCATAATAAATGACAGATAATAACCCATTGAATGCAACAGGAGTTCCCATCTCCTGCTGATATCAACAGAGAGATGAATAAATAGATTAAAAGTTTAATGGGGAAGTATAGACCCACAGCATCTCAGAGTACCTCCCTACTACCCAACCCAGTCGGCATCCACAGAGTCGACCAAAGTTGAATCGGCAATAGCCAAAGCCAGGCAGGGTGACACAGGCCTGTTGTCCAGGCTACTCAGGAGCCTGAGGAGGGAGGATCACCTGGGCCTGGAGTTGGAGTCAGCCTGGACAACGTAGCAAGATCCCTGTCTCAAAAATAATAATAGTAATTCAGAAAAAGAATTGTGTCTGTACTTAACATGGACAGTTTTTTTTTTCATCGTTATTCCCTAAACAATAGGCTATGACAAGTGTTTACATTGCGCTTCCATTGTATTAGGGATGATAAGTCATCACAGATAACTTCAAGTGTGAAGGAGGATGTGCGCAGGATCGATGCAAATACTTCCCCACCTCCTAGAAGGGACTGGAGCATCTGCAGAATTCGGTATCTGTGTGGGGCCCTGGAACCAACCCCCCATGGATTCAGAGGAACCGCTGTACTCATTAATCACAAACGAAGAAGCGAAGGGACTTTATAGTGGAGACATCTGGCAGACACCGCTTCAGTCAAATAATCAAAATCAACATCTCCAGGGATGAAAGAAAGTGAAATCTTGTGCCAGATGATGACACATTACACAGTATCACGTTGTGATATTCTGGCTCATGATACAAAACCTGAATCCGATGATGAGGAAACACCAGGTTAAAGCCAGACTGTGGGACATTTGATAACACAACTAGGATATAACCTTTTAAAATATCAAGGACATGAAAGTCAGGGATCCTGTAAGGGACATTATTGGGCAAGCAACAAAACTTTAGCGGAATCTCCGGATTCAGATTTTGGCTTTGTAGGAGAATGTCTTTGTTCATACGAAATATACACTAAATTATTCTCATGTGTGGGATTTCATGTTGACAAATCACTCTCAAGTAATCCATATAAATTTTTGTACAGTTCTTAAAGCTTTTCCTTAATTTAAAATTATGGTTGTTGTTGTTGTTTTTTAGTTTGTTTTGATACTGAGGATTGAGCCTAGCGGGCACTTTACCACTGAGTTACATCCCCAGCCCTTTTTATTTTTGAGACAGGGTCTTGCTACGTTGCTGAGATTGGTCTCAAACTTGCAATCCTCCTGCCTCAGTTTCCCAAGCTATTGGGATTATAGGCATGCACCACTGCACCTGTCCAAAATTGTTTTTAAAAATAGAAAGAATTTTTTTTTTAATTTTTCTTAAAATACAAGGAGACGATTCCTGGAAACTTCTAGAAAAGTTTTTATTCTTCCTCCTGAAGAGATCCTGTTAGTGACTTTTCTTTCTCCTCTACGTAAGGGTAGGCATTCAGATGAGATCCAGAACTGTTATGATCTTCTCATTGTAAAGCTGACTAAAGCTGAGCTGAGTCCATCACAGGAGGACAGATCCTGAACCACGGGATCAAGCCACTCCTGGCTAGATTTCCTCCAGACTCCATTTGCACTCGTCTTTAAAATCCCTTGTTCAAGCTAATCGTGTTGGGTTTTCAATTATGTGCCCCCCCCAAAAAAGCATCCTGACTTATACATGATTATTGAAATAGGATTCCAGGGTTCTCTTGTTATCTACTTAGAAATGCTCAAGTAGAAATCTTGCTCCTGGGTAAATAAAATGGGTCCTTGGCTACGGACAGGGACACGGCCTACCATGTAGAGCATATTCACCGTGACTTTCAGATTCCAAGTAGAAGACAGACCAGAGAGTGAGGGGACACGCTGAGCTCATCCCAGTGGGGTGTCTCAGCAGGATGGAAGCCGGTGCTCGGTGAAGCCATCTTGCCAGTTGAACGTAATCCAAGAGAAATTTTTCAAGTCTGCAAAAATGTCCCCAGTACTTCCCTTTCTACTTAAAGACCTTATTTAGGGTTATTTAAATATCCATTAACTTTACTCTTCTGGGTGACTCTTATTACTCTTTCCACAAAAACCTTGAATAATTCACCAACACCTAAAAAATAGTCTTTTATCTTACCGTGACATGTGATGCCCTCCAGAGCAGATGTCAAGGCCCCGTGCACATCTGTCTCCCCTCTCTCCACATACCTAATTCTCTAGGAACACTGGTCACGTGGGGCTACATGCCCCTGCTGGAGAGGGGAGCTACAAGTATGGGAAGAGTAAAAACCAGATTGAACCCTGAGGGATTGTCTGGAATGAAAGTTATTGATAGGAAATCATAGGTTTGATAGATAAAGAGATAGAGAGGTGGTATAGAAACCAGTGCAGATGTAAGTGCAGATACAGGTATCCTTCAGCATCTGCAGGGGATTGATTCCAGGACCTCCCATCCCCAGCCCAATTTCAAAGTCCTCAGATGCTCAGTCGCTCATACAAAAACCTAGAGGTCCCCCCTTGTGCTTTGTCATATCTAGATTACTCCTAAGGCCTCACAGTGTGAATGCTGCGTAAACAGTTGTCATACTGTATTGTTTAGGGTATAATGAGAAGAAAAGGCTCTGTACACGTTCTTTCCAAATGCAGCTTTTTTTCCTGAATATTTGTAGATTCCATGGTTGGCTGAATCTGCCAATGTGAAGCCCACAGATAGGGAGGACCAACTGTATACATCAGGATATTTTCCCTGTCCACTGAGAGGAACTATCAGTGGGAATACCCGGCTGCAGAAAATACCATGAACTCTCCCATCATCGGGCCTCTTATATCTCACTCTATGGTTTCCTACCCTGAGACACCTTTGTCATGCTCTGCCCACCAAAATTCCACTGAGGTGAGATTACAAAGTGTGGAGCACGTGTGTCGTCAGCTGTCATGCATCCTGTCTCTCCATCAGGGTCTGGCTCAACAGTCATCTCTTTTGTGACAGGACACTCTTGGGGCATACGCACGCAGAATTAACATCAACCTCTTTCTTCACACCTTCCTGTACCATCACTGTATCTCTCTTTGTTTTGATGATAGCTGTCTGCAGGTCTATCGCCTCTCCATATGTGAGTTTTTGAGAGAGGAATCTGACTCCTTCTTTTCCTCTGTCCCTCTATCTCCTGAAATAAATCCTGAAAAAAATATTAGGTGCTCAATAAAAGGACTTTTAATTAGAGAAAGTCTATCTCCATGACACAGGCTGGAGTTAATGGATCTGCCTGCGTCCCTGACCGCAGCCTCTTTAGCACTGGATTCTACCCAAGAAAGCTAATCATTCATAAGGAATCCAGGACAAAACACCAGAATCCTTTGTTCCAGCTCAGTTGCTGTGGATTTCCCTTTGCTTGAACAGGAGGCAAACTTCAGAGAGGGGCCTCCCCTGCCTGCTGTCCTGCTTGCCAGGTCTTTTCTTTTTTTGGGGGGGGGGATTGGGAGGGTGGCAGTGCTGGGGATTGAACCCAGGACGTTGTGCATGCAAGGCAAGCACTCTACCAACTGAGCTAGATCCCCAGCCCCATGGCTGGGTCTTTCTCAGCACTGCTTGAGTCAGTGCTTTGCAATTGCCATTGAATAAGCCCCTCTCCACTTTGCAACTGGAGGTGGTAGAAGTAGGAAATAAATGTTTGCATTTTGATGATGCCTCCCTTGGAGTCTGGCTGGGCTGGCCAAGCGCCCTGGCATGTGATAAAATGACCATTTTCTGGCTCCCAAGGAAAGCTGTGGCACTCCAAATGTGCAGTTCTGAAAGGAAGCTCCTGCCCAGCAAGAAAGCTGTTGTGAGACAGAGACAAAAATCCCTGTGTTCTTGGCTCGTGGGGTTTCCTTCATTAACGGTGCCGGCAGCAATGAGGAGCAATGAGACACGGCAGCCGAGGATCTTGGACAAGAAGAGGGAATGGTAGACCTTCCCACGGAAGACCCAGGTGACCTCCAGGAGGGCTCCTATTCAATTTGCATTGCTGCCAGAACACATCCTCACAAATCCAGTGACTTCAAACAACACCCATGTGTTATCTCTCCGCTCTGGAGCACAGCATGGCTCTCCTGTGTCCTCTTTTTTAGGGTGAAATGGAGGAATCAACAGGGCCGTGTTCCTTACTGGAGATTCTAGAGGAGGATCTGCTTCCAAATTCACTCAGAGTGTTAGACAAATTCAGCCCCTTATAGGTGTAGCTCTGAAGTCCCTGTTTCATAGCTGGCTGTCAGCTGGCCATCCTTAGCTCCTGAGGTCCTCCTCAGTACTTGCACATGGCCCCTTCATCTCAGAACCACAAGGGCACATCCAATCCCTCTCCCAACTGGAGTCTCCCTAGCTTACCTTCTGCTGCATCTCTCTGAGTTCCCCCAAAATATAGTCCAAAAAAAGTCCTTTGCTCCTAAGTGAAGGTTCAGATGATTGCATTGGATGTGGATGGTCTTCTAGTCTGAAGGTCAGCAGCTTACTTACTCCCTTTTGCTGTAAAAAGTTACAGGCTCCAGGTCTTAGGCACGGCGACCTCTGGGGGACCATATTGTTCCTGTGTCAAGGCTTCACATTGACATCACAGGAGTATGACCTCCACCTGGTATGAATATAATCGGGATTTTTCTTGGATATTACAGCTGGTCTTTGATTTGCAACTTGCAGAAAAAAATCTTAAGTCCCCAAATATAGAAAACGTAGGCCTCTGAGCATGTTTCTGAGAAATGTTACTATTCCTCCCTAGACTTAGGAAACTCGACCCACAGCCAATCCCCAGCATCTGGAAACTTTCAAGAAGCACAAACAGATGCAGAAAGCCCAAGTATGGAGTCCAGGAGGTCCCTCAGGGCCAGAGGAGGGCCCAGTATTAAAACTTACAGCAAGACCAAGCATCCGTGATTAAAGGATATGCACTTAAAGATAGGCAAAAAAAAAGAGGCCCCAAAATTCCCATTTTGTGACGCACAGCCAAAGCCCAGGCTCTAGGGTCATATTTAAGCCAACTGCTACAAACCAGTGATGGATGAAGCTCTGAGGAGGCAACCACGCTCCATTTCCATCAGAACTGGAGGGGCTTCATTGCAGGTATTTGATATAGACAAGGGAACCTGAGGTTAAGGAAATGAAATCCTTTCTTTGGAAGAAGGAGCGTAGAATAAGGAATAAATGCAGTCAGTGGGTCTCTACATCAAAAGAAGGTTCAATAATGGGCTAAGCTGGATAAGAATAGTTAAACCCAGTAGCGCCCCTGCTTTGGGATTGAATCAGATTCATGGAGGTTTGGAGCAAGGTCAAACCTTTACAGAGAAGAAAAGGGAACAACTTGCCCCATTCCAGGCACTAGACATGGAACCAGGTATAGTCACATGCCTGCCACATTCAGGATCCTGCAATCTAGGAGGCATGGACAGAGAGATGTTCCTCTTCTTATCATGGGTTACGTCCCGATAGACCCTTAGGAAGTCAAAAATACCATTTGTCAAAATGTGTTTGGTGCACTTACCCTCCAGGACACCCTCCCCTACAGAACCGCCTACAGAACACACCTCTAGCCCAGCAACACCACACGCTGTAGAATGTCAGGTTCCCCCTGATCTCATGGCTGGGAACTGCGGCTCACTGCTCCTGCCCAGCACCCTGAGAGAGGGTTTCACGGCATACGAAGCTCTAACCTGGGAAAAGATACAAATTCAAAACTCTTGACTTCTACCGAGTGGTGTATTGCTTTCACACCATTGTAAAGTCGAATAAGTCAGACCATCGTGAGTCAGGGACCGCCTGTATTTTGACATATGAGAAGAGCTGAGACAGGTGAAGAGCAGGACTGTGGACAGAAAGAGCCAGAAAGGCTCCCACTGTCGATGTCCCCAGAGGAGTTATATTTTAATGACAATGAAAATGTCTGAAAGCATCTTCTATGTTTTGGCTAGAAATTTCCTCTCTTCCCCCACTCTCATGAGATAACGTCAGGACGTAAAACTAACCAATCAGTCCAACATTTTCTTCCAACACTACAGGAGTGGTGGCCAAGACTGGTCCTTTATGTCCTCTTCTGTTTGCTGAGGCTCAGCTCACCTCTTGGCCTCTTGGGCGCCACAGGTG